TTACACACCAGTATCTTACCCAACCCCTGTTTCCAAGAAGTGGTGACTCATATTGTGCCCTCTCCCAAAAACGAAACCAAATCGAAGGCGTTGGTCATGTCAGTGGTTTCTGCCTGATAGCATCAGTTCTATACCTGATGCTTCACAGGAAACACTTATTCTGACCAGCCTCTTCATTTCTTTTCAGGTAAGAAAATACAACTTTTAATCTCTTTCAATTTTGTCTGTTTAAGTTAATTATAATTGTTCGATTCATATATTACATTGTTGTGCTGCAACTCGTGTTTAATGAGTGAATGTTATTAGTGATATTAGAACCAATTGAGTGTATTTTATTAAACCAGACTGATCATGAGAGATGCAGGCATAACATATGTATTTAAGTGGCAGGTAGCTATTGTATGGTGTTAGTTATGTTTATGAAGCATTTAGATTATATAATGGTCGTATTATTATGTAGTAGAAGTAGTAAATCTTTGTATACATTCATACTAAGTCAGGTTAAACCAATTAGTGTGAACGCACCTCATAATGTGTGTATGCTTAATGTGAGATGTATAGTGACGAGTTCATACCCCTCTATACAAGAGTAGTAATAAAGTTAATCCTGATACCAATTCAATAGTCTGTGCATTGGGAGAAGTTTCTCTGGTTTTTATCAGAGATAACTGTGACATGCTATGACTAATGACTTGTGGTCAGCAGTAGTCCACCAACTGGACAAATGAGGGAATATCGTAGAAAAGAGAGAATTTGGGTTCATAGTTCAAGATTCAGGTCTTTGATAAATGAGTTGTTATGCATTCGTGGTCTCTCTCTCTCTCTCTTTCGCTTTCTCTCATGTCCCTCTCTTTTACTCCCTCTCATTTCTGGTTTCTCTCTTTAACTGTTAACATCATATTTGAAGATTGAGTGTGATTTTGTTAGAATATATTCCTTGTATCTTTGATTATACTTTGTCCCTGCATATAGAGAAGAGTTTTGCTAGAATTGAGAAAGTAATTGTGTATTAGTTTAGAAAATGATTTTAGGGTTACTGCGACTATAGACAGGTCAGGATATTGGAGAAAGTTAGGTTATTGTGTAAAAAGACACAAACCTACTTTTAACTGGTTCACCTTGGTCTATAATTACAGTTAGCCGTGTTCAGATTAGAAGATAAGCAGTCAGATGCCTATGCCAATGTTGTTTATGAACTTAGAGTAGCTGTGTTCATACTTATATTTAATCCGTATTACTTGTATTTAGTTTCATTAGTGGAATATGTTATTCCATGTTTATCTTTGTGTTATTAAAGAGTTCTATACCTGATGCTTCACAGGAAACACTTATTCTGACCAGCCTCTTCATTTCTTTTCAGAATTTATATTATTTACCCCGGCCCGGGTAACATTATTTTAAAAGTCAGCTATGAATGAAAGATTATCATACATGTTTTGAACGAGTGTTATGTCCCGAATCGTTTGGTATCATTTTTGTGTGGTGTGTTCACGTTTGGATGAACAGGAGACATTGTTTGCTAGAGTGAAAGAATCGACTTGCGCAAAAGTATCAAAGTGAGAGAATAACTTGAATGTAGCAAATGAGATGCATTGCAATATGCTTTTTTCAGAAGCAAAGTCACACACACACAAACACACACAAGGAACACACACACAAAAACTATAGACGCAGACAGACCGAGTCCTTTGGGAGAAACAATTCATTGAGATGCACCAACCTTTCATTATAGCATTATGATTAAATATAAATTCCGTTTTGATATTAAATGAGAAATTTGCGATTTTACAGAAATTTTCATTACGTAATAATGACTTGGCTGCGTGTGCTTTTCATATATCTAAGTGTGTTCGTGTGTGTTCGTGCGTGCGTGTGTGTGTGTGTTATGCGTGACTGACTGAGTTTGACTGTGTGTGTGTGTTTTTGATATGTATAGCATGACTAGTTTTCTTAGGGATGTTTTTAGTATCGGCAAAGAGCGAATTAATACCCAACCCCAATTGTTTTAATAAAACATATAAGCATCACTTTGGCGCAAGTCGATTTTTGCACTCTCTTAAACAATGTCTCCTGTTCATCCAAGCGTGACCACATGCCAAACAAAAATGATACCAAATGATTTGGGATAAAACACTTTTTCGTAAGATGTATAATAGTTTACTGTTCATAAATGATTCTTAAAATAATTAGGAATTTTGCTAGGTGTATACTGGCTGCAGCGAGGTCGATGTCAAATAAACAAGTCTGAACAAAGGCTTCTACGGGAATTTGTTGCATTTAATGATTTGAGTAACCCTTTCATCCGTTTCATTCCGTGAAAACTGTGGATAAATCACAGATAAAGAATCGTAAATACAAGTACATCATAGCATCATCAATATAACAATAACACAGTCTCTTTGAGAAACTCATGAAATAATATAGTATAACTGACTGCTTTGAGACGCCTCGGGGCAATAGCACAATTTTAACCTTCCCTTGAGCGTATAAAAACAACTATTTATCGAATATTAAAGCAGTCAATAATACTTTTATATGTCGAAAACAAAAGAGTCAACTAATGCCATCACGTACCTTGGCCTTTCTCTAGTTTATCTGCACGGTTGTTTTTTATGAGTGTATCTTTGAGAGTAGACTAGATCTAGATTCTAGTCTAAGCAAGATATTTTTACAATTTTGGGGGTAGGCCGGCCCTGTGGGGAATAGAGAGAAGAACCTGCGCTTTCATATGACACCTCACTTATTGAGTATCACTTTCAGGATCACAACAGATAAAGGTTTGAATCTCGAATTGAAAAAAAAAAACTTGACTTTTTTTGCATGGTCGCGCAATGCACGTAGACTGCATAGAGACTGCATTGCGTGTAATCTCTATGGGAAGAATATAGCACACAACATCGGGTGCGCGATCAGACACCCTGACAACTATATCTATTTTCGTCTACGTCTATGCTGGTACTCCATTTTCAGCAACTAAACGAACATGTTTATGGATAAGTTCACGTACCCTTTTTGTTGTTCTTGCTGTCAGCGAGTCTTGCATTTGATAAGTTGAAATCTTGGGAGAGTTTCTTGAGTCATTTTTGTCTTGTTTGGAATTTTCTTGTCTTGTATGAAAATACCGACCAATTCTTCGCACACGTACGGTATCCTCGATCGCTCAAACCATTTTTTAACATGTAAACCTATGGGGTAACCATGGAGACTGAACTATTTTCCTGGTAACCATGGTTACTGGGATTTTAGAACTGTTTTAACCATGGTTACTGGGAATTTTACAGAAATAGTTAAAGTTTATGAATGCAATTTCGACCAATCAGATGGCTGGATTTCTTAAGTGAGGTATATAACATAAATTGTGTCATGATCTTCATAACCTATTCAAATATCCCCAGTCACTATTCTACTCCATCTGCATTATGGCTTTACACAAACTCGCACTACGAGTGTCTCAACTAGGCTTCACTATAGCTTGGTTAAACAATTAACTAGACAATAATAAATTCCAAATCTCTACTTTGTGCTTCAGCACTCTCATAATATATTTTCAAAGTATTTGGCAGTATCTTTACTGTTATCTTTGTTCTTGATATAAGGTAAAATGTACATACATCATATTAAACCAGCATGGGCTTGTATTTCTTACATTACATTACATACTGCAAACATCAACATCTCTCAGTAGGTAGTTCAAAACATACACACTAAATTCCATTTTATGTTTCGAAAGTTTGTAGAAATACATTAAATATATAACAAAACTAACCTCTTTGCCTGACTTAATGACAACATTATGACTTTAAATCTTCTTGATGCGCTGGCAGCATTCTGAGTTTTAAATATCAAGTGAATATCAGTAGATGGTGCTATACTAGGCACCTTGCCTAAGGAAATGCTATTACAAATATACATGTATTCATGTCATGCATGAATAGTACAAGAAACAAATGACTTTGGTGATTAAGTAATTTCACGTGCAACTGTCACAACAATACATATCGCTCTTTTTGCAATTAAAATGCAAACAAAGAGGCAAATCCTCAATTTTCTGGATCCAATATTTTAAACAAAATTTTCCAAGCACTTTGAGAGAGAGAAGGAAAAAGAGAGAGAGAGAGATATTTCTTGATCTTCAGAACAAATGAACTACCTGCATTCAATTACTATTTCAGGCTGGTCTGAATATTCTGAAGTTGGGAGGGATAATGGCAGATTCGACATCCCCTCTTGGAAAAAAAACCCCTGAAAAGTCTAGGTGTCACTTTGCATTTATTTATTTATCACAGCTTATTTCACGAGTTAACTCTTTTCATGCAACACAATTAAACCCCTGCTCCACTTCAGGAATATTTGACAGTTGCAGTGCAACATCATTCTGTACCAGTATTAAAATGGTTGTCACGGAGCTAATCTTTACCAGAAATTAGTTTTATTTTACAAAGCGCCGGATTGTGTTGCACAAGGTAATGATTCCGCAAATTGGTGCCTATTGATTTGTGCAAAATTGCACGTGTGACAAAGCAAGCAAAGTCTTTAACTGTCTATCATGTATTTTCAAATGCAGTTACTTGTGCAAAGGGGTGACCCACGTGTTTTAAAGAAATTATACTGAATTTTTCGACAATGGTGCTGGCGACTAATACTAGACCTTAATACTGAATAATATGTATGTTCTTACACAAGCTTACAACTAAATATTTGTCCTGCCTATATAATCTACACTTTTAACCAATCTATACAAAACATATCTATAACCTGACGATAAGAAATGCTACACCGCTTTAAGTGAAAAACAGATAAAAAAGTTTATTGTACAAAAGTATTGAATAAGTGAAAAGTGGCATTTTTGCATTGTAGATAACAGTTACCTTGACGAATTTAGATGTTAATTTACCCTTAATCCCTTAATTTACAAACTAAAGTAATGATATAAAAACCACATAAGATATTTACTGTTTCTATAACATGTTGAAAGTAGCTGTTTAAGTTTCGTTATAATTCTTGCATCAATTGAAATAGTGTACTATCGTAGTATGAGCACCATGTTTCATACTGCCAGCTCTGTGTATTACATTACATATCATGTTCATCATTGTTGATCCAGCATGTATCAATGCTGGCACCATACCCAAGCCTCTGCCTCGCTAGGGCTGCCTCTATATTTCTTCGTAAGTGTCTCCCGGATCTGATGTTATGGGTTCCAGATAGGTAACATCGGTGTTGGGTTTCTTTAGATCTTGGTAGGCATGGGTATCAGCATTCAGGCCTTCGTAGGTATTGGGGTCTTGGTTGGAGTCATCAAATACAGGGTTCTCATGCTTAGATGAGGTCTCACGTGCATTGTTTGGTGGGGACGCGACTCGTTCAGCTTCTAAACGTCTTTGTTTGATCCTGGAGGTGAAATTCAATAATAAAAAAACGCATTAAGTTCCTCCTTCTTTGTAATACAATTGAGATTCAGGTACACACGCACACGCGCACACACACTCACACACACACACACACGCACGCACGCAAACACACAACGTTCAGGTTGTTTGCTGAAGATTCAAACCTGTTTCATACCTTTAAGACTGGTTAGAAAGATATTGATATGAATGAGGTGAATACGGATTTGAATAAGGTCCAGCAGTGGTGTTATGCCAACAAGGTAACAATTAATCAAAAGGAGATCTGTTCTAATAAAGGGTTCTCTCAAAATATCTGGATCTAAATTACTTGAAGTAGATAAGGCATCTTTTGTAGGACTACAAATTGATAAGCATCTCTCATGGATTGAACATATAAAAATAGTAAATCGAAATTTTCGTTCAAAAGTCGGAATTTTGTTCAGAATAAGGTATCATGTGCCACAGAACCCCGGGCACAGAACATTTTATTGCTATTATACAAAACGTTAATCCAGCCACATATTTTGTATGGAATTGAAGTATTGGGAATCACATACAAAACCAACGTCAATTGTATCTTCCTTACCCAGAAAATGGCGATGAGAGCGAGAACTTTTAGCCCAAGGAACCCTTGTTCCAAAAGTTAAACATTTTAAATATTTACAACCTGCATTTCCTATCTGTCTCAACCTTCATCTATGACTTATACAATGGCAATCTTCCTCACTCCTTAATTGAATACTGTCAGGTCATAGAACACAGATATGGCACAAGGGGCAAAGAACATGGACAACTATATCTGCCTAAATGCAAAACCACACAAGGTCAATTTTCAATATCATTTATGGGAATGAAAATATGGAATAGTATACCATATGATTTAAGAGGAATACGATTTGAAAATACTTTTTGGAAGGGGTTAACGAAACATCCAAATACTTTGAGCTAAACAAAAGTTAAGACTTTTTAAAATGGCAAAAATAAATCTCAGATTAGAGAATGTCTATAAAAAATCACTAGATAATGATATATTTTTTATTTACTGTATGTTTGGTTCTGATTCGGAAGTCGACACAAATTTGACTTACATGTATATATTAAGTGAGGAATATTTCTAAATGATTATTATATTTCTTTGTTTACTTTCTTTATATAGTTTATGTTACATGTATATATATATATATATATATAACATAGTATAGTAAAATATAGTATACCAATTCTTGCCTAGGACAGGGAACCAGACTCGACTAGCACTTGTGCTAACTTCTGGTACCCCCTTTAACAACAAAAGTGTACACATAATCTTTTATTCCATTTTTACTTTGTAAAACAATGTTTATATTATTCATGTGTAATGTTATCGATCTTGTGTTATATTGTTATATTTTATGTAATCATGCTCGATACATTATGTTTTACTAATTAGGTGGTCTGTCGTAGACAGATAATCTATTGTTTTCGTCAGAATTTTCTTTCTTTATTATTTATTTATTTATTTATTCTTTATTTTTATTTATTGTTCCCACTTTTTTGTTCCGAGGATAACTCAAGATCAGTTTAGTCTATTTCGTTCAATTTTGGAACAGTCATAGGTACCCGGCCCCCCACTCAGAGGTCGGAATGACCGCATGCGTGTTGCCAAAATGTCCGGTAAAGGGGTACTTTTCGTGCGACAAAGTCCGGCCCGAGAATTGTAAAAAAAGGGGTGTATTTGACTTTTCACCCGGAGATTTATATAAAAAGGGGGTGTTTTTCCTTTTTTTCTCTCATCATTGGACTCCTGAGAAATTATTCCGAATTAAGGGGGGTACATTAAGCTTTTTTCCTGATTTAGGGGGGGGGGGGTGTCTCCAAGGCAGGAAAAGCCCGCGAAATGCCCGCGAAAGGGGGGTTCAGAAATATTGGCAGTCCTCAGATAGGGGGTGCTTTCAAAAAGAGGGGAACGAGCATATGCGTACCTAAATAACATTGAGTGGGGGGGGGGGGGGCATAGGTCATTTTCATAAGACATGACAGGAACATTTTCAAGGTCATCAAGTCTTCATGACGTCATCCAGGCGCCATTTTTTTTTGGTGTACTTTTTACTCAGGATCATATCTTCATAACGGAAAGGCATTTCTTATTCATATTTATTTTGATTAAGGTCAATATCCGTCCGGTCAATTTCAGGTCAAAAAACGCGCGCGCATGCGTACGTCCGCGTGTCAGCGCGCGCGCAAAATTTCAAAATGCTCCAAATCGTCTCAATTTTTTTTTGCAACGTTTCAGGCCATTTTAAACGTTTCGTAAAAGACGCGCACACGCGCATGTGCGCGCGTTTTCGCGTGTACCGATATTTTGCAACATAGAATCGCCGAATTTTCTCGGTCATCATATTTGGCCCAATTTTTCAAGCATTTTGATACCTTGTTCACCTTTTTGTGAACATTAATAACGGAATGAGCGTCCGTTTAAGATACATGTAATTGCGTGTGAGCTCTTGTAATACATAGCATATATGGGTAAAAACATACCTATACAAAATCCATTGTAGCTCTTTAGGATGCAAGGTGACTCCAATTTTTTTCTTCATATTTTGATAGAGTATGAATCGGAGATATGATATCATGTCTCATTTAGCCTTTAATTAACTCCTGACGTCATAATAATGGCCTCCGAACTCAAAATTTCAGTTTGCATATTATGACGTCAGCATATTTTTGGAAAATTGATTATATCTCTGTAAATATTGATCGATTTTCTAGCTGAGACAATTCGCTACAAATGCAGTTATCACAAATTTTGATGTTGACAAAGGCATTATGACGTATTTTTTGCGATTAAAGGAGGCATGTCAGTTTTTCACATTTTGCGTGTATTCTCTAAAGGATATGCCTTTTTCTCAAAACTGGATTCTACATTCCCGTCTTTCGCGAGCAATATCTCCGTCGTTTTATCTTCGTTTTCGCTGAGCGTCCATATTGCTCCGATTGTCTCATTTTCGCTCGCGTGAACATTGCCAGCACAAACCACTGACCTCTACCTCCTACACGGATCATCGCACATTCCCATTCACTATACGTTACGTACTAAAAGGCTGTATTGTCTGACCGTTCATGAATATTCATGTTTTTGCTAAACTCGGCAAAATGTTTGCTTTTACTACATGGAAAAATTACGGTGGGGGTTGGATGAAATGGACAAAACGAAATAGGCAGAAGTGATCCATGATAATTCATGCTTTTTATGTTTCGTGTGCTCGACCTATAATCTTCAAATCGCTTGGTAAACTGAGTCCAAAGTTAGACTTGTTTCACATATAGGCAATGACGAGCTTGCAACCTATTTTGAAAAATTACGGTGGGTGAACTTTCAAAAGTCAATGAGACATGAGGGCTCTAATGAAAGAGCTAGTGATAACGTACGTCGGGGTGGATGTGCTTTTCGTTTAAACAAAAAATGAATTTTTAACGATTTTTAAAAAAAACGTCCATAGGCTAACATGTTAGGCTGCTGAATCTGACCATGCTCTGACGATAGGGGGCGTTGTGAAATGAGACTAAACGGAGCCATATGGAGTATGTTGTAGCTGAGACAATAAGCTATCACAGGTGTGGCCTTTATTTTTTCGATCAGATGCCGGTATCATGCTCATATTTCACTTGCAAAGTGGGATTTGAGAATTCCATTTCCGCTAACGTGTAATCGCTATAGGAAATGTTTTGGTATATCGGTAACGCACTTGACTTCCGACCTCGAGTACCCTGGTTCGAGTCCGGGCGTCTCCAACAATTTTTTTCTTCACCTTTTCTTCTTTATGACCTTTCTTTGATCTTAAGAATTGAAGACAGACCACCTAATTCGTCCTCATGACGAATTAAATTTCTAGTTTTTTTTGTTTTTTTTGTTAATAAACTCAAACTCAAGTGAAGTAGGAATGGTCCCTGATGAGCATAACAGCTGACTGCGTATGATTGTGGATGACCCTTATAATATTACAAATAAATAAATTATAAACCATTCATTGTATCAATATATTCAAACGGCCTTTCGAATAGGGTAATCCTGCAATAGCTTTATTCATTATCGTTTTGGCTCCCTTTAGATTTGGTCAAGTATTCTGCCCTTTTTAATGTTTTATTTATAATAAATTCATATCTATATTTGTAAAACTGTTATCATAGAGTGGCATGCAATTCACTATAATTGTTCTACTGTTGTTGAGTTTACTTACCTTCCATACATCACCAAAGTAATTAGTAGTATTACGATAATAACGAGGGGTACTATCACACCCCCTATCACAGCCCCTAGTGTTCTCCTGGAACCATTATCACCACCTTTAGCACAACAAAACAACATACATGTAATTATGCTGTAATGAGAAAAGTCTAACATGAAATAATAGAAAATATCAATATACAAATGATAATTGACATATATAAACAATAAAATTGCGAGAGTTACACAAGTAAAGAAAAAACTAAACAAGTGATATACGAATACAAACATGTGATTACAACACATTCATAACTACTTGACATTTCTGGGGTTTGGCGTATAGTGACCAACGATTCCATGTACGATGGAACTGTTTTCGTAATTACTTTAAATGTGAGGACACAATACTGGTACTACATTCTTTGAGCACCCTCCCCATGCTGTACAGCAGTAGTTGATATAGGATTAAATAAGGGAGTAATACAGATTAACAAGGACTTTATGACTTACCCATTTTTTATTCGCCGTATATATCCAATAGAGCGTGATATTTTACAACAAACATTTGAAATAGGATTTGACCTTGACAACTGTGAGTATAATGTCACTCCCAAATATTTTGTAGTATCAACATATTCAATCAGTTTATTTTTATATTTCACTGACAAAACTTTATTATACAATTTTCTTTTAGAGCCAAAAGCACTGACCTCAGCTTTATCCGGGTGTATATGCATGTCATTAATTTCAAACCATTTATCAATAAGATCATAATCATCTTGTAAATTAATCTTAACTTGAGTAAAATAAACATTATTATTAAATATAAATGTATCACCTGCATAAACATATATTTTTGAGTGTGAATGCAGATTCAAATTACACGCATTATTAATGAATAAGCAAACAATGAGAGGGTCGAGAATTGATTCATGCGGTACCCAAGTTTGAACATGTAAATATTCGCTATTGCAGCCTTTAACGACAACACAATAATTTAGTGCATTTTACCCGGTCCCCAACATAAAAAAATCCTCTGTACGACCATGCATTATGGCTCAAAGCATGAGCACACAGAAGATTTTTTTTCTGTTGGGGACCGGGGGGAAATTCAATGAATTATTGATAATTTATTGCACTTTCTTTTTTATTTTATTTGTGGAAACTGCCCCCTACCCTAGCCCCCGCTGCGTACAGTCATGGTTCAGTGGAAAAGCAATGGCCTAGTGACTGTGAGACCCCAGGATAAAAACCGTGTCGATGTGCTTTATAAGTGCCCTTTTGTGGGGCATTAATCCTCATTACTGTCATGTATGACTTTAAGGGCGTAGGTCCCCTAGTCGATAAACATAGTAGCATACACATGCTTTAGCAGTCACGCAAAACAAACACTGGCAAATTATTATTCAATAAAATCTGAGAATGTATACTATTTTCTAGATCTATTAGGAATAAATCCTTGTCAAAATAATTCCATAAATTTGGTTAAACATTATTTTCCAACTTTATGAGCAACAGTGTAGATTATATTCCATAAATTACAACTTTTCTTATCGTTTCATAAAGTCTCACAAAAAATTGAAACAAAGAAATGTTTTAGAAAAATGTATACATTCCATTTCTCCTTATACTAAACTATACAAAATTAAATGCAGACTATTCAACTTTCTCAGCCAATCAAACAGAAAATAAGGCGTAATATTAGGATTAATATGTAAACAACGCTGATAAGCTACAAACTTATAAACATAATTATGAAGGTCACAAACTTACTTTAGTTTGACATGTAGCTAGTATATATTTAATAATAAAAATAATACATGAGATTTGTAAGGCGCGTTATTCTCTTGAAATCAAATGCTGAAGGCACACTTGTATGAAAAAAGGAAAAATAAATCGCGCAAAAAGCAAACGTATTTGGAACAAAAGAACAGGAGTAATATAAAAAATACGGAAATAAAGGAACAATTAATTAAATGCTGAAAGCATTTTACTTCTACATCCTTTAAAATCCCACATTACCTACGATGTTTTCAAGTATAACATTCAGGGTAGAACAAGTTTCATTTGTTGCATACTCTTACCTGAGAGGATGGTCTTTGCATTCACTGATACGGACCAATTACTAAAACCAGCTCCATTGAGAGTTTGGACCTGACAAACATGGAAAAAAGAATATGGTGTTGTAGTAATATTGACAATACAAACATCGTCCACACACAAAGGAATTGTTTAAAGCTAGTAAGTCGTGGCTGCACTTAATCATGAGATATTCTAGTCCGCGAGAAAATACAATCTACAATCATCATAAGCGTCCTCATACGAAAGTTAATTTTTAGATGCCTTTAAAGCATTCAAATGTAATTTATTTTAATGCAGTATCATGCATGTAATCGGTGATTGCTTGCTACATAAATGACACAATTAAAAAAAGAGAATCACTTTGTAATTTCATCCCAAAGTATATAGTTTCTCTAAAAGCGCTTAGGATAACAGCTCAAACTAAAATGTTCTTAAAGGTAAAAAAATGAAATGGAAGCTCTTATTACCAATCATGTGAAAGAATATGTTTTGAATATTACATGACGATACAAATTTTGACGGGAAACCGCCTACTAATTGATATATTTGGTAAATTAGTATATCTCTTGCCTGTTGAGAGATACAAATGCACGTGTCGCGCACGTGTGTGTAGTCCCATGTACATCTTTCTGTGTACAGTGCTTCTAACTTTATGAAGACTTGGCCAAATTTCTTATAATTTTGATGATTCCAGAACCTTGCAGAACATCTATGCTAGATGATCAACCTTTTCTGATCGATTTCACAACGTTTCTTTCACTATGCAATTGCATGACCATAACTGGTCTTTAGCTTTAATAGGGAAAGCTTGTACTAAAATATGAAGAGAATGAATATTCCCTTAAACGTTGGGTCCTAAGGATTGATGTCGAGACATCTATACCTGAACTGTATAATTGATTTCACTGGCCAGGTCCATCACAGTATGTTCCACATCAAACGCACCAGTCAATTCTTCCTCCATCTTATAATTGCCATCACCAGCTGGATCATTTCGCTTGTAGCGGATGATATATTTCTGAATGTTACCATTGATGTTAGATGGTAGAGGGGTAGACCAGGATAGAGTGAAGGAGCTTGTAGTACTCTGCAGTATAGTCACATTGATAGGAGCAGGCGCGACTGATTAGAAGAAAATGGTTTATAACAATGTCATGCTGAAATATGGTAGACTTATGTATTGACATTCCGGAATATCAATTACTTTTGTTACTCTCGTTTTAATAGGTTAGTACAATGTCTAATTCCAGAAAAAAAATCTATTTTAATTGCAATTAAAGCGACTGTGTATAAAATTACATTGGGGTTTGAATCACAATGAAAATGTAATGACATAAAGGAAATAGTAATCTAATGCATCAAAGAGTCATGTATATGATTTATATTGTGCAGGCAAAGTAATTTAGTATACAATCACTGCTAAAGATATATTTACAGATTTCATTGCTCCCGATATCCTCTGATATCTCACGTGCTGGCCCGTACTCCACTAACATCTAACCCGACGCTGGAATTAAACATACTCAGAAATTGAGTTTAACAAAGAAGTTATACCGAGGTCTGATTCTAACAAACTGTAGTCCTCGAGTTAAGTTTAATGAATTAGCAATATACGAACCATACAGTTTGCAATTTAGCAGAATGAATGATTTTCTCTCTATCAAGATCAATTAAATTTGTAGATGAAACTGGTAGTAATGAACCAAAAGTAGTATTAACCGAAGAAAAAAAAACATGTTGGACGAAGGTTGTAACAAAAATATTTACAAGAATATTAACTGTTTCACTTAAAAAGCAAAGCAATAACTCCCTTACCCTCACGAAAAAATACATCCTAAGATTAACACCAACCTTCTTCAAGTGTTTTGCTCATAGTCTCACTGCTTTTGTCACCCTCCTCGTCTTTATTTAATGCAGTCAATTGAATGGTATAGTCCAGATAGGTGTCTAACCCTCTTATCGTGTAGGAGCTAGTGTCACGAAAAACTAGGATAGAGTTTGGAGAAGTTGAACCAGGGGGAGCGTAGTAGATCATATAATGGGTCACTCCACTCCTGCATTCTGCTGATTCCGACGGGAGGTGCTGAAACATTAAAAAGCAAATTCATGTTACATGCAGCACATACTTCCACACTAATAAACAAAACTATGAGCCGTTATCTTTTTTTTTTAATCTACAGTTTTCGCATTAAAGGGAGCTGCTATATGGTCCTGCTAAACAAGATTCTCTTGATTACAAAACATTTTTATACTTGCTTCCTTCTGTAAAATAAAATAAAAACTCAATTTCATAAGCCCAACAGCTCTTACTTGCAACTAGCAAACAAAACAAATTGGTGCTATTTAGATGTTTTATATTTTTTTTACACAAGATCTATTTAATTTAGTCAACTGTTGAGGTACGTAAAGAAATATTCACATATAGTCAGTGACGTGGAGGAGTTCTTATTTGACATATCTTGACTACAAAATAGGTACAATTAAATCTTAATAAGGTTGTAAGTGTTTTTACCAGCGTCATATCACATAGAACGGTGCGGTTCTACCTGTATGTAATAAAAAATATGACTAGTAACATTTATACATTTTGTGCTCTGGACGAGTCTTTTCATCCAACTGCATTTCCTAGAAGCGACCAAACAGCTACTCTTAAAACAGTTCATACCTCCCATGTCACATCTAGCTCTTTAGGGTTGATGGCTGAAACTTGTAGTCCAGTTGGGGAAGCACTGGGTTCTGAAGGTTTAAAGTATACACAAGATACTAACTGACTTGGACCTATAGTAGATGAATACATCACATGGTCATGCACGTCATAATAAAATCATGCACTGCTTCTACAGGTACCCTTCATGTAGTTTTAGATTAAAAGTCGAACATGAAACTACCGTTGAGCCAAACACAATGAAGGGTATACTTAACGAATTGTAGAAGAAATTGTCGGTGTCACAATTTACAAAGATAAAAAAAAATAAAAGAGAGAATGTATGGAATATCTAAAATACAAACATCTCTTTGTACAGACTTTACTAAAATAAACTAGATAAGTAAACCATTTCAATGGAAAGTGCATTCAATCAATGAAAAGTGCATTAGTATCCCAAATGTACATCTAAATGTACAAATCAATTACTAAAACGCAAAAACAATGTACCTGTAAACAAATGTATAACTCCAACCCACTCAAGTATTTTTCTTCTGAGCATAACTTACTTCTACAGAGAGTTATTGTGTCGCTCCTAGGAGACCCGGGTCCTGTTCCACCTGTTCCTTCCCTCACTGCTGCTACACGAAACCTGTAATCTGTGTCGGGTGTCAGGTTACTAACGATGGCTGATGTTGTGGGTTGCTCCACTCTCTGATCCGCTACCCAGTCACCATCATTCTCTACAAAGACATCATATCCTTCAAGAGGAGGATCACCTATGCCATCTTCTTCAGACCATGCATTCCATCGAAGACCTACCGTAGTTGACGTAGTACTCACTATCACTGGTGCTTTTTCTATGACTGGCAGAACTAACAAACAGGGAGAAAAAAACAGAAATAGTTAATATAATTGATTGAAATAACCGTCAAAATTAATGACACACTTGTATACGAGCAGTTCTTCCATCAATTCAATATGTAAATAACATTTACCAAAGTGCATAAGAACACAAGAAAACTAACCATATAACTGATTCGATCGCCGGTAACCCTGTATAGAGACAGTGTGACTGAGAATTATTCTGTATTTAGAGAATCGAATTCATGCTTTCTATGACACATGTATCTCACAAAAGTACATTAGAGTGAAGCAATGTCACGCAGTTTGCTCACCATAGGTTGCGTTGGTAATAGGCGTCCCGGGATGGCCTACACCATCAGCATTAAGAACGCAAACGTATTCCCCATCTTCCTGTGGATACACACTATCAACATCAAAGACAACAGCTCGTTCTGACCCTGAGACAGTGCTAGATCTCATGGTGATTCCTGTCCTGTTATTGGTGTCTCCAGTACGTCTGTAAAGATCAACTGAGGATGCATCGGGAAGTGGGATACCCTCAACATAACATGTGAAGCTAGATGGTTGGTATGGGTTTACTCTCACTGGAACCAATCTGGATATTCCTGTCAAGAACCAAGACGATGAAATAAGAAAGAAGAACATTAAATAATACACACAGTTTGACACACAGAATCTATTAGCTTTATGTAATAATAACTAACAATACATGGGGAACAAATTTTACATGCACTTTATAAGACATTGACCTATCCTGATATTCATAAATAAAAGAATGGATTCGTTTGTATCAGAAAGAATGACCAATTACTTATAATATTGATATTCCTGTCAAAAACAAAGCAAAAATACAAAACATTCAATACAAATATACATGTCTGCAGCAGAAGATTGCAACTCAGTCACTTCATTATATCAGTATTTAGATCCAGAACTATATTGGCAAGAAAACTACCACAAATACACTTGTGCATGTACATGCATGTTTACCAAACCAAGAGAAGATATCAATTTGATTATTTTGTTTTAAGTCAAATATCACTGCAATACTCCTGGTATGCAAATCATACATGCTTCGTGGTACCACATACTTTTACCAATCATGATGTCTATCCAGTGGAGAAAACGATTTTTGTATTACAGTCAAACCTGTCTTAGCGATCACCTGTCTATAACGACCACTTAAAATCCCCCTGTGAGATTTCATGTAGTTAAGAGTCCGTGCACAACGACCACCTCCCTAACGCGACCAGCGGCCACTCATTTTGCTTCCGCTAGCCACCGGAAATGCCCACACAACGACAGTCAGGGCTAGCCATGTAGCGACCAGCAACATTAGCGCTTGAGTAATTTCGTTCACTCGCTCTGCTGTATACGGCTCGCACAGCGGGAGCCTGTAAAGCTAGATCTAACGGTCATTTACACACAAAAATCAAATCAATCCCAAGCTTTTATTCAAACTTCAATCAAAAAATGTAATGACCGATAGGATAGGGACGAGCCTATTGAAAACACAACTACACAGCGTCATTGTCATGAACTTCGCGATCGATGACTCGACCGGCCTGTGAGAGGCCTGGTTAGTGGGCGTACATTCATTTCTTTAAAACAAAATTTAATATGCCTACAAATTCAAAAATCCTGGACAATCCCCCCCCCCCCCCAAAAAAAAGAAGAATGTTAAATCATTTTGTATTTTTATTTTGACTTTTTTTCAACACCAAAAAAGAAACTTGGGTTGTTAGATTTATTGATTGGCTAAAAAGGTGGCCAATTACGCCGACCTGTCTAAAAAGACCACCTGTCTACAACGACTACTTTTTGTATATCCCTTGGGCGATCGCTATAGACAGGGTTGACCGTACAAAGATTAACCAATAACTGATAATCATTTGGAGGGGAGGGGGGGGGTTGTTTTTTTTACATTTAACTTCCGCTTACTGCGTGTAAAATGGAGTAGAAACTTCATTAAAATAAAGAATTGACTTTATACAGAGCAAACAAAACAATATATTTTGAACTATGCCCAAGTGTCTGCAACAAACAAGAATTATAATCATATTAATGATGGCTGAACAAGGGAACAAAACAGAAACATTACATGCTAGGTATAATTACTTTGACTGCAGCTCGGTTCAATCCAGCTATCAATGCATAGTCCCTTACAAAGACCCCTCTCCGTCTCACAAGCCTCTTGAGCACAGTGGCATTGCTGAAGACAATCCAAGCCAAAGGTTCCCCCTTCACACTCTGAAAAAATAAAACACAATTCATGTTTATATTGGAGACATCTGGTCAATGATTATTATTGAATACTAAAGGCAAAGATAACTTTTGCTCGGGTCTACTTCTACGCATGAAATTAACAATGGAACAAGCAGTTGGCACACACCCTTTTTCAGATTATTAAACTTTCCCTCCATCAATGAAAACACTTTAAATGGAATACTTTGTCATGATATATTTTGGGTGAATCCAAACAATGAATACGATATATTAAACAAATATTTACGGCTAATTTTTTACCTCACTATTCAAACTATAATACATATACATGTTGCTCCTCGGTGTTCTTGAGATTACACTAAGCCCCTCGCTTTTGTCTCGGGGCATAGTATAGTTATAACATCACGTTGGGTGAATAACCATGCCCTTCAAAGAAGTCAATATTTGTCTACTAGAATCCCCCTCCAGAGTATACATTATAACAATGTATTTAATAGCTCATCAGTACTATGTACATAATATATGGTTGATATGACCAATATACATACTCTACGAATTTATGAGCGTTCATATATATAGTACATAAAACAAAATACCGGTGTGTCAATTAGCACACTGTACCATCCATGTATGTACATGTTGTATGTAGACTTGTGATAAATAGGAAGTGATGTGCAAAATTCAACTAGCTTGATTGAAAAACAGAATCTTACCTTGACAAATGACCTGGCCAGTACTGCGTATTTTGTATCCTAGAGCGCACTTCTGCTCAGGACACTCTCCAGTCTGTTTATCACATGGTTCATCATTCAAGCAATGACATTTATCAGTGCATTGAGATCCATAGTACCCAGCTTCACATTCATCTGGAACTGGGGATGATAACACATATTTTAGAAGTCACAATTTAGCAATTACTACTAGCAAAATAATATTAGATGTACTTCACAAAGATCAGATTGCTTCTATTGCAAAAATTCTTTTCTGTACAAACTGTTAATTTCATTTTTTTTTTCATTTTAACTAGTGATTGCATTTTTTCTTTGCAAGATTGATTTAAATTATGATACAAATTCTTGAATTCAATAGAGTCTTCACTAGATAAATCCATGTATTCATAGAAAGCATTCAAACATGAAAGTAGTATAGACAAGGAGTTGTCTACAAACCACTTCTTGGTGCGGGTATGTCTAAGAAAATAGAAAATACATGTATATTAAGTGATAATATAATTGTAAGTTATCTTATTCCAAATGGGTATAGTATAGCGCCCCAGGTCCTGTAGGCAATGAGGTTTAGAGAATAACAAAAATTACAGAGCTACAGCGTACAGGTCAAACTCTGATTTATCTAACTTTTCAGAGAGAAGGCATTTATGTCATATTATTTGTTATCATTGCTGACCATGACTTACTTTGACAGTTGCCCCCAGACCAGCCAGTCTGACATCCACCTGTACATGTTCCACTATAAATATCACATGATGAACCACCGCCTGTGCAGTGACATGTCTGTGAACATCCTGGACCATATGAACCTATAGTACATACTGTAAAGGAATTCAAAATCCAAAACCAAGATGGATTGATTATAATATATTCATCAGAAAGGAAAATATTGTGCATGTTACAATAACTTCTTATTAATTTCTCTTCTTCTCGTTTCTTCTTCATCTTCTTCTTCTTCTTCTTTTCCTTCTTCTTCTTTTTCTTCTTCTTCTTCTTCTTCTTTTTCTTCTTCTTCTTCTTCTTTTTCTTTTTCTTCTTCTTCTCCTTCTTCTTCATCTTCTTCATCTTCTTCTTCTTCTTCTTCTTCTTCTTCTTCTTCTTCTTCTTCTTCTTCTTCTTCTACTTTTTTCTCCACTGAGTTGCCCCTGACCTCACTCATGAATCCAGCCACATTAGTGTCTGTGCTATGTATGGTCTATATAATGTCACTATCAGAAGTTGAGCACAAGCAAATAACTTCGGAAGACTTACGTGTGTTACATGTAAGACCATGAGCACCGACATCACATGAACATCCATAAGGATCAGGTAGGCAAAAAAGCAGTCCATGACATTGTGTGGCAGTATTGCGGAATGAACATTGAAACTCGCACTTCAATCCAAATCGATTTCCACCATCATTTCTACAAACTGAAAAAAAATGAGTTGCATTGTTGAATCAAAACCTTATAGACTTGCATAAGAAATAAGATTTCTTGAGATAAATTTCAAGTATGATTGCTTTCCTGATATCAAGATATTTGATATGTACATGTATAATGGATGTATATAACTCTGTTAATTTTAAATGGAATAAGACAAAAAATATCTTCCTCAATTCATCTATTATAAACAGATAATCTTTAAAATAATTTTGAACGTTTGGACAATAAAACCTCAACTCAACTCAACTTAACTCACATAACAGTTTTGCAGGCTTACTTACTTTCTAAACAATTCGTTCCGTTGAAGTTGTTAGGACAGATACACAGGCCAGACTTGTCATCACAGACTCCACCATTGTAGCATTTATCACAGATACCATAACACTCAGGGGGACCCCACTTACCAGCAGGGCATTCTAATATGAGATATAGGGAAAGAGAAAAAATAATTAAGTAAAATACATGTCACTAAACATTAAATCATAACAAAGATGAAAAAGATAGAAGATAAGCGGGGTAGAGGTTACAAAGCAATGTTCTCGAGCGTAGAACTATAGTATAGTGTATGCCATCGGCTTTGTCACATTTTGAATTTACATCCGGGTAATTTTAAAGTAACCGTATGTACAAATCGCATCACATATATTGATATCCTTACATCTGAAGTGTATCATTTGAAGTCTCATAAATCTTTTGAAATAACATTTGCAAAAGAGTAAGAGCTGTCCATCTTACAATAACGCGCCATCACAAATGATCAGACTTGGACATTAATTATCTACCAGACTGCTCTAAACCAATTTTAAAGAATATTTTACATTTATTTATTCATTAATAATGAATTATAAATGAATATGTACATATCATCATCCACATGTAACTTGCATGATCTAATGAATACAAATAAAGATTTCTAGGCAAAGTATGAAGCAATACTTTTACAGCATTATAAATAAACAATACTCTCTTGGACTGGGAGAACATATAACCCCTTTCAAGAAGCATAATCTGAACTCAGCTGAAAAAAGCACACTTTTACATGTACCTCTGACGATGAGTCTGTATAATCCTCCTCTATTTTGATTCCTCTCGTTATCATAGTAGATCTCATAGATTCCTTGGTCTGATGTCTGGATTGGGTTTGGGAAGCTGATCTCAGTCTGCCCACCATATGATGTAAGAACCTCACTTCCATCTTTCATCCAAGTAATCAGATTGTCACTCTCATCAGGACTATCACGACTAGTCATGCTGATCATCACTCCGGTTTCATTCACATTGACTGTCTTTGTAAACAATTCATCACTCGATATGAATTTAGCTGTTAAAAGGGATGATAATAATAAATGAACCAAATAAAAAATGTTAACTTTAATACATTGCATGTAGCACCTACATGTACATGACATATGCACTGTAGCCATTTACTCACTAAGGAAACAATACATTTATATAAGACTTGCATACATGTACATGTATGTTGAAATATATATTGAAAAATATTCACTTGCATATTGGAATACATTTTTTCCTGCTGATATTTTTCAATAACAAGTTTTTGGTCATTTTCAATATTTGAGCATGGCTACTAGTCTGGTGTATATCAAAATTTGTTTGGACTTATGTTTTTTTTCTTCATGTAAGTACACAACATCAGGACAAATGGGCACGTTTCAGGCTCAACGCATTACCGTGCATGCTTTGCTTATGATAACTTTTTAACGTTTTGTACTATGTACACATAAATCTAGAATTTCTTAAAAGAATCCTACTCTGGCATCTTCAGATTCATTCTCATGAGATATATGTAAAGTATCAAACCTTTGTAATAGCCATTATCAAACATAAAATGCTCAAAAAAGCAGATGCAAAAGTAAATGGTAGTATACAAAAAAAGAAACAAAAGTGATGATTCTTCAAATTGATGTTTTGTATACATGTGTAAATTGGCCTAGTAATCCATTGATTTCAATGCTCCATGACAAATAATTTAACGGTGTTACTATATCGTTGTATTAAGAAGGCTACTCTAATATTTGAGGACTCTCCGAAATGCAACATAAGCTCAGTCTATATTGCTGGAGATAGATAATGGTTTATAGATAAACAAACATCATTACAGCAAAGCAGGGGCGGATCCAGCCGGCGGCGAGGACGGGGACGCAATTCGTGAGAAAATATTTAGCTGCGAATCAGCCGGCGAATAAGCGGGGGGGGGGGGGGGGGATGGGGGGTATGGAGCACCACTTTTCTGGCCAGGATTAAGGGCCCGTCTTCTCTTCTCAATAGCAATGCTAAAATGTTTTCCTTAAATTGACATCAAAATGACCTCACATGGAATATACTCAGAACTTCACTTTTGACTACTTTACTACAGGAAGCTTTTATAGTATACATTGAAGAATAAATCTTTAAAATTAAGGAAATCTTATACTTATTATAATGAATGGAATATTAGACTTACCATCACTTCGTTGGAAAAATGTAGTAACTCTTGTAACGTCTCGATCAGATTTAGAAGCCTCACAGTAGAAAGGACCGAAACCATCTCTATCCCATCCATCTCCTGTAGGGAATATGACCCGTCTGATGAATACACTGCCAGCTCCTAAATGAATCACATCGTCTGGTGGTGATCTGTCTGTTGTTATGGGTGCTGATCGACCTAATGATAGTGTAGCGTCTGTATCTGGTACACTGGGGTAACATTGATAGATCCGACTGCTAGATGAACCTACATTGGTGTATCCTAAGGTCAGCACTGTGATATGAACAACCTCACCTGGAATACCAATAGTGAAGTAATTTCTTTTTACAGTATAAGCCTATACTAATTTTCTTTTTCATATGAATTTTGGACTTCGAACCATATAGTAGGTTACATAATTATGTACTACACCACAATATGACACTTAATTAATAACACAACTTTAGAATGATCAAAATCTGAATCAATTGATGGGCCGATTGAGAAGCATGGCCTGTGAGGTTAAGCCCCTTTTGGAAAACTAAAGTTTCAATAACGAACTGGAATAACAATATTTCAATTTTTCAAATTTGTTCATATCCACCACGCAAATTTAAGTGCTCCATGCGCTCGTGAATACCCAAGCTAGGCTATCGATTTCGGTGCTCACAGTATTCAAGAAATTCGTTTCTACTAGTACCCATTTAACTCATTTTTTATCCATTTACCCATTTTATATCATACAAAGTTTGATTATTTTGTACAACTTTTCAACTAATCGATTCTATTTATTTTCACTGCAAATTTTAATTTGATATTCGTGCAAGCATCGTTGAGCTCTGCCGCGAAAAAAATTCAAAACCGGGGGTACAACAAAAAAGGGCACCTAAACAGGGAAATCACAAAGCTAAAATATACACTTTTGTATAAGTTGGTATATACCCCTACGTTGCCATTACATTATCAGGGATGATTTAACTATTTGTTTCTCTTTATACATCATACAGCATATTACATAAGCATCTTACTTTGCAGTTTGGTGTGATGGTTTGAATTTTCATTTGCAAGCAAGCGAAGCGAGCAGGACAATTTGTAAGATTTTTGAGGTCGCAGTGTAAACAATTTCATCTTATAAAGAGGAAAAAATCGCACGGAAGGGGGGAAAATCCTCCTCCCAGCACCCACCCCCCTGTTACACCCTCAAATGTAATAACTCCCACAAATGTAATAACGCCCACAAATGTAATAACACTTTACCCACAAATGTAACAACTCCCACAAATGTAATAATTCTTTACCCACAAATGTAATAATTTCACCCACAAATGTAATAATGACTTTACCCACAAATGTAATAAATTTGAAGGGATATTTTGTCGAATTTAAAACTAAAACCCTGTAATAAAGCATGGGTATAGCGCGCAGTTTTTGCTCTAGACCCGGTTATTTAAAAAAAAAAAAAAAAATCTTCAAAACTAAGACCACACCATCTTCCAAACTAAGACCCGGTAATAAAGCATGGGTTTAGAGCGTAGTTTTTCTTCCAGACCCGGTTATTTCAAAACTTTTTAAAAACCTTCAAAACTAAGACCCCATCATCTTATTCCTGTGGAAGAACATATATAAGTATTAAGCGTAGTCTTTCCTCCAGACCCGGTTTTTCAAAAGTTAAAAAACAAACAAAAAACAAAACAAAACAAAACAACTAAAAAACCTTTTAAACTAAGACCCCTCTATCTTCCAAATAAAGACCCGGTAATAAAGCATGGGATTAGAACGTAGTCTTTACTTCAGACTCGGTTATTAAAAAAAAAAAAAATCTTCAAATTAAGACCTCACCATCTCATTCCTGTGGAATAACATGGGTATAGAGCGTAGTCTTTCCTCTAGACCCGGTTATTTCAAAGGAAATAGAAATTTAAACAAATCTTCGAAACTAAGCCCATCATCTTATTCCTCTTTTTTTTCATTTAAAAAATAAATTACATTATTACATATGTGGATACAACACGTCACAAATAAATGATTGGTCGGCGGTCACACGAACTGACGAATCAGTCAAAATGGTCCATATATATAACACACAGAGGAGGGACCGATTCGATGGTTCGTTGACCGTCGACGATTTCTTTATCATGTAAATATTCTATTGTAAACAAACAAAAGGGTATCAACTGGGTTAAAGAGCTTCCCTCTTATACAAAACTCCTAAACGAGGACCCGAAAAAGGTCCTTGGATGGAAATCTCCTTTCGAGATTTTCTTTAGTAGGAAACCAGAACAAAATTATATCTCCCGTCAAAAAACAAACTATACTATCCATGGTTGGGAAAAGAATGTACAAGCTGTTCGAAGAAAGGCTTACAAGGCTTTGCAGCGTGTAAAAAAAAGAACGATTAGATCCCAGAAAAAAAAACTTAATGTACCAAACATACCAGATCAGGTAAAGGTTGTTAATATTCTTTATCTCATTGTATAATTAAAATAATTATTTCCTTTTGATCAGTCATACTTCATTTCAACTCCGTCTACTCTTAAAGCATCTGAAAAGTATTACTGAAAAACTTTTGGAGTTGTACGTGTTAAGTAGTAGTTATATGGACGAATACTAAGTTACAGAAAGCCAGGTACATTTAGTATTTCGGCATCTTGTTCTCTTGTTTTTCCTAGCTTAGAAGAATTGTCACGTGTTAGGTTGTTTGCGTTTTATATCAAGTTCAGTTGATGTTATCAGGTTCAATATTGCCCAAATTATAACCTTGTTTGCTTGTAAAAGACATGTGAGTTACTCCACCTTTTTATACGTAATAATTATTTTGGTTCTGTTACCGTCTGTATATTAATGAAACAACCTCTTCATTCGTTTGGAATAAAATACTTTCTATCTTACAAAATCTATGTATCCATCATTGCATTTAATACTATAAAACCATAACCTCTGCAATTTACTCACATTGATTGAGAGAGTATATAGATATTTTATCAGTCAAAGGGTTCTGCAATCGTTCATCCAAAACATGCAAATATGTTTCGCGCGATCTCGTTATACAGCTATTTATGATTTGTTATATGAAAGTATGCGTTGTTATTTGCTTGTTAACCGATTATCATCCCCCCCCCCCAAAAAAAAGAAAAAACAGGGTCATAGTACATAATAAATATAAGGTATAATGTGTAAATCATCAGGGATAATTATGTTATAATAATTAATCTCAAGGAAGATATGCTGCCGGCGAAGAAGCAAATGGAGGAATAGAAAACATTATAAAAAAAAGCTGAAGATGGAAAACGACATTGCCAGATAGACAGAGAGACAGACAGGGAGAGGGAAAGAGAGAGAGAAAGAGAAAAAGGGGGGGGGGGGAGGGGGCGGGAGAGATAGAAAGTTGGACGTAGTCCGTACTGTATTTATTTATATGATTTTTGTCTCTCCGATCAACGGTCAACGAACCATCGAATCGGTCCCTCCTCTGTGTGTTATATATATGGACCATTTTGACTGATTCGTCAGTTCGTGTGACCGCCGACCAATCATTTATTTGTGACGTGTTGTATCCACACATGTAATAATGTAATTTATTTTTGAATGAAAAAAAAGAGGAATAAGATGGTCGGTCTTAGTTTCGAAGATATGTTTAAATTTCTATTTCATTTGAAATAACCGGGTCTGGAAGAAAGACTACGCTCTATACCCATGTTATTCCACAGGAATGAGATGGTGAGGTCTTAGTTTGAAGATTTTTTTTTTAAATAACCGAGTCTGAAGTAAAGACTACGTTCTAATCCCATGCTTTATTACCGGGTCTTAATTTGGAAGATAGAGGGGTCTTAGTTTAAAAGGTTTTTTTTGTTTTGTTTTGTTTTGTTTTGTTTTTTGTTTGTTTTTTAACTTTTGAAAAACCGGGTCTGGAGGAAAGACTACGCTCAATACTTATATATGTTCTTCCACAGGAATAAGATGATGGGGTCTTAGTTTTGAAGATTTTTAAAAAGTTTTGAAATAACCGGGTCTGGAAGAAAAACTACGCTCTAAACCCATGCTTTATTACCGGGTCTTAGTTTGGAAGATGGTGGGGTCTTAGTTTTGAAGACTTTTTTTTTTTTTTTAATAACCGGGTCTGGAGCAAAGACTGCGCGCTATACCCAGCTTTATATATATCTAAAAGGAAAATAAGCGGAAGGAAAGGGAATGGAAAGAGAAATAATCCTAAAAATAGTCATTTATGACATGAAATTGTACATATAATGTATATATATATAAATAATTCATAAAATAGTGTGTGGCAAAAATAGTCAACTGTGACTGATTGCCAAACAAAACCAAATCAAGAAGAAGAAGAATTTATTACAGGGTTTTAGTTTTAAATTCGACAAAATATCCCTTCAAATTTATTACATTTGTGGGTAAAGTCATTATTACATTTGTGGGTGATTCAAAATATCACTTCAAATTTATTACATTTGTGGGTAAAGTCATTATTACATTTGTGGGTGATTAAAAATGATTACATTTGTGGGTAAAGTGGTTATTACATTTGTGGGTGAAATTATTACATTTGTGGGTAAAGTGTTATTACATTTGTGGGTGTTGTTACATTTGTGGGTAAAGTGTTATTACATTTGTGGGCGTTATTACATTTGTGGGAGTTATTACATTTGAGGGTGTAACACCCCCCCCCCCCCCCCCCCCCCCCAGGGAGCGCGCTTGTGATTCGCACGCTCTGCGTGCTCACTACCGCCCCCCTAAAATTAAATCCTAGCTACGCGCTTGAATTACGGGCAAGTTTAATGATGAGAGGAGAAGGGGACACTTATCGAAAGGGATAATACACTTTTTAGAAAAGAAAAGGAGCACGTGTCAAAATACAAAGGGTTATTATCAGAGGTGACAATGGGGCACTTCTAACTCCTGAAAGAGGCACTCACCAGGGATGAAAACAGGTACCTCTGATAATGGGAAATGATAATGGGAAATGCGCATTTGTCGACGGAAAAAGTGCACACATCAGGTTTTGATATGGGCATTTATAAAAAGGGGATAGGTCCCTTATTAAAAAGAAGAAGTGGCACTTATATTAAATAAATTCGTTTTCATTAGTTGAAAGAAAAAGGGTGTTTATTGGAGGTCGAAGGGAGCTTTTAGGAAAAAGGGGAAGTG